TTTTTCAATGATTTGCTGACAGTTGAATCACTGCTTGGGTGTGTGTGCGTGCGTGCGTGCGTGCGTGTGTGTGTGTGTGTGTGTGTGTGTGTGTGTGTGTGTTCGTGTGTTCGTGTGTGTGTGTGTCAGAGGGCGTTGTGTTGGTGCCAAATGAGCGATTATGCGCCGTAGATAAATAGATGTCATTAAGAGTCTGAGCTCTAATTAACAGCGGCCCTTTTCTGCAGGCTGAGGTAAGTGGGAGAGGCCAGGTATGAGTAATAAATCAGCAAAACATACACAGTTTGTTTGGAACCACCAGCACAGAAACATCCAGACAGACAAAGCTCACCATTGAACTGCTTGTGGGCATGTTTGCACACACATCTGATCCCCCACTTGCTCTGCTATCGTCCTAGCAGGGATTTTGATTAGTCAGACATCCCTAACACACTCCATGGCTCATGGCCTCACATCCAAATCTAGCTTTTACCTTCATTAGCCGGTGGAAGCAAATATTTTCAGGTGTGCTGCAATGAGGGGCAGCTGTGGGGCCATATGCAAGTGATTTGGGAACTCGGAGGGAAACTGAATTCTGATGACAGACGCACTGTTTGGCTTGCACACATACACGTCCACGTACACACAAGCAGGAAGCATACATCAATCAATCACCTGGCTCCGTTCTCTCTACATGTGGTGACCGTATGGTGTGTGTACGCGATAAAAACCTACTTGGATTTGGTCATGTAGGTGTTCTGCTGTCTGATCTGGGATCGCCAGAAACACGTGTTCCACAGAGATCCTGCCAAGATTAGCTCAGGTGTTTATTACACGCAGGATTGTTGGAAGCCGGGTGTTTTCTTATACACATAAAAACCTGGAGATGTTTTTCTAGAATAAACAAACACATCTGTCGCGATTCTCTGTTTTAATGTAAAGTCAGATTCTGAGGAGTTAAAGCACCTGTGAATGAACTGAAATTACAAAGCTAAATGTCAGTAGTTGAATAAATCCCTAACTGCAAACAAACAAGTACTGATGTATATTATGGTTTTTACTTGAGGACAGAAAAACAACTGATAAATTCTCCAGTCCTAGAACTTCTCCCATTTAATGAAAGATTGTTTTTGTAAATGTATTTACGTCAAGTTTCCCAGCCCGTGCAGCATTTACGCATTCCCAAACGGCACATAAAGTTGGTTAATTGTGCTGTGATCCTTGCAGTGCATTAGATTGCAAAAATTACCTTAACGCCGCTGTGCCTTCTGGGCTCTCACGCTTTTAGCCGACAGCCCAAAGCAGATGCTCAGTGGAGGTTCTGGTAGTGGCTCCATCTGTAGCTCTGAGACCACATGCAGCCTGATTGAAGTAAGGCATTCTTCTGTGTTTTTAACTTGTTTAACTGGGTGTTCTGAGCTTCAAAGGGGAAAAAAAACACAAAAAAGCTATGTGTAGCTCTCAGCTGTGTCATAAACATAAAACAACAAGAAGCCAGCACCAACCAGGCAGGGTCCTGATGGGCAAAAGTCAATGATGGAGAGAAGGATGAAACAGAATAAGATACTAGAAAGTTAGAGCGTACATAGAAAGTGTGGATTTCAGAATAAAGCAACTTTAGTCAAGATGATCTTGGAAGTTTCACATGGATTAAAGTTAAAGGAATCAATTAAAATTTAAAGGAAAACTAAATCTTTCAAAGTTTTGAGTCACTTTTTGGGAGGTTTTGCACCACAGATAGACCAGATATTTGGTAGACCATTGGCGCAGCATACAGGGAATTTTCCCCACAGACTAGTTCAATCAATCAATCAAAGCTTTATTTATAAAGCGCCTTCCACAACCCTGTCAGGAAGACCAAGGCGCTGAACACTGTACAGTACAAAGTCAAATAAAGTAAATAAATCAGAAAATAAAAGCAATTCAAATTACAGATTACAAAAAAGGTGAAACATTCTAGTAGAATACAAATGTGTAAAACAAGGAAAAAATTGAACCAATGAAGACTGAGATAAAATCAACATAAATGACGGCCTAAATCAAATACATTCAGGGAACGCCAAGTGGAGGAGGTGTGTTTTTAGGCGGCTCTTGAAGACTGGCAGAGATGGGGACAGCCTAACTGAGGGTGGCAACTGGTTCCAAAGTGACGGTGCTAGTACTGAGAAAGCCCGGTCCCCACGAGTACGACACCTAGAACGAGGAACAATGAGCAGGCCTTGGTCAGAGGAGCGCAGAGCGCGTGATGGGGAATGTCTGTCCAGGAGCGTGGCCAGATAGGGGAGAGCACCACCCTGGATGAATTAGCAGTAGTTAGCAGTTCCAATCACACAGACCATAGCAGAAGGCAAAAGGATTTAGCCTTTCAGGTCGGTCTAGCCACTCTCCATTGAACCTTCAGCAGGCCCAGTCTTGTCAGTCACAGTTTGGTGGGCGAGGTGTTTCTACAACTAAGTGAAACAACAAGATGGTGACAGTTCGTTTGAAACAGCTTTGGCATGAACTTTGAACTATTTAGACTTGGGCTTTTCTTTGAGTCAAGAACAGATATAGATATGGGTCCTTTATTTTGAAAACGGAAGTATTTGCGTCTTCTTTGACAGTATGGAGGACTGCCCTGTTGACTGACATGTACATTGCTGAGTACATCACATGTTTCGTTGTCCAATAGCATGTGAAGACAGTTTTAAAGGCAACTATAGATCCCGCCCCATGACTGAGATCTGTTTATGCGTCGTGGCCAGACTATATTCACATATATATGATGGCATGCCAGGCTACAAAACGCTCCAGTTTTTTTCACTGGAAATCAGTCAATGGGGCAATCCGCCATGTTTCATTGAAGAAGCAAATGCATTCTTTTTTTAAATGAAGACCTTGGGTACCTTTATTTGAGCTTGCGTCAGTCCAAGTCTAAATCTTTCAAAGTTGATGTTAAAGCCGTTTCAAATGAGTGCCATTCCTGAATCAATGCCAGTGTTGTAGATTTTCTTCATTGCATCTCTGGTTCAAAGCCCGCCCAGCAAACATAAAGCAGTGTGATTACCAAGACTCAAAGCTGTTCAGGCCAGTGGTAGACCTGCTGAGACTACAAAGTAGAGTGGCTAGATCGACCTGCAGACCCAAGTCTTTTGTTGCTACTGTTGGTCTAGATTTCTAGACTAGGCTCATGTGACCATCTGAGAAAACGATAAACTTAAAACAACGAACAAATGGTTTTCAATAATCTTTGTTGCAAACTTTTACCCTTTTTTTTTTTTTGGGTTACCACTGGTTTTGTCTCATTTGAATTTGTTGCCAATTTTATTGCCCACCACCAAAAAGTAAAAAGACACTCTGTCGTCTCAAACGTCTTTTTAACCTTTTGCTGGTGATTATTTGATGTACATCTTACAGCTGGTCAATGAATCAAAAATTTATGATTATTAAAATTTCTGACTCTTATCGAGATAATTTCTTCCTTGTCAATAAATTTGATAAAAATGAAAAGATGTGTAGGTTGGCAACGTTCATGCCAACCTACCAACCTAAGCTGTACCACCTTGAGTCACGTAAAAAGGTGACTCAACGTAATACATGTGACAGCCCCATCTAGTGGACAGCGTTAGTTTTTGCACATACCTGTAGTTATCGTCCATTTATCGTTATCGAGGTGAAATCCTCAATATATCGTGATATTGTTTTTAGGCCATATCGCCCAACCCTAGCATGTCTAAAAGTTACCTCTTGAGTCAACCAGATTAACGATGACAGCCACGGCAAAACCATAGAAACACATAAATGGCTAACTTGATCGGTTTTACAGATATTGAAGTTAACTTTGGTGCGTCTGTTGCTGAGTCATTCACAAATCTTCATGTGCTAACATGAAGTGGGGGCAGCAGTAGCTCAAGAGGTTGATGTTCGATCTCGGCTCTGGACAGAGAATTCTGCTGTTGTGTCGTTGAGCAAGACATTTAACCCACCTTTCTTGCTGATGGTGATCAGAGGGACCGGCGCCTGTGCTCGGTAGCCTCACCTCTGTCAGTGTGCCCCAGGGCAGCTGTGGCTACATTGTAGCTCATCCCACCAGGGTGTGAATGGATGAATGCTACTCTGTTGTGTAAAGCGCTTTGGAGTCCTCTGACCCTGAAAGGTGCTATACAAGTGTGGATCATTTATCAAATATTGCAGATAGCCTACAATGCTTTCAAAACTTGACCGAAAGGGCTTTAACTTCGTCGTTTTTCTGGATAAGATGGTCTCAGCTTGAAACTCTTGAGAGGTGGTGGGCCTTGACTCATTTTTGTATGCAGCTACATTTCAGACGTTGCCTCAAATAGCTTCCCCTCTGAATGGAAATGAAGCCTAGCACAACCATTTCTCGTGTTGTCATCATGGAGGCATCAGCGAAGGATCTGTCAGCGGTTGAGAACAGGATTTGAAAGACTAAGGAGAGGAGAAAATAAAGTTGAAGAATAGAAAGTATGATGAAATTTAATTTTAATACCAGATCGAGAGAAAGAACAGACCTACTAGACATGCAAATGGAGGAGAAAGATGAGGTATGCTGTCCTCTCAGGGTCATAAAGGTGCTGTGTGGGGCCAGAGGCTTAATGGGATGGAGAAACGTTGTGATTGGCTCATTACTGTGATGGAGCACATTGCCACAACAATTGGCCTTTTCACCCCCCCACCCTCCATCCCTCTTTCAACAATCTACTTCTGTATGCACCGCCGCACCCAGACCTGCAGAGGTGTATATATGAGAACACTAATACAGTAAAAGTCGAACATTTACCTGCAACGCTTTATCCTGCAAGGTGAAATCATAACTCATCTCCTCGCATCTCTTTAGCTTAGCTTTAGCGTCTAGTAGCTTTCAACTGCAGTGTCTCAGGAGTTCACTCTAAAAAACACAAATAAGCTGAATGGCTAATCATTTCCTGAGGTTTAAAGTCACCATCTTGTCTGTTTTTTTTTTGTTTTTTTTTTTGTTTTATGTTGCAGCATTTTAACGTTTCCTGTTCTTCTCTCCACAGAGGCGCAGAGGCAGCGGGGTTTTCTGTGCTAACTGTCTGACCACCAAGACATCACTGTGGAGGAAAAACGCCAACGGAGGCTACGTCTGCAACGCGTGTGGCTTATACCAAAAACTACATTCGGTAAGTTGTCGGCTCACAGGTGTGAAAAGGTATTCGTCTGCAGCTGAGAAGCTTCTGGTAAAACAAGACCAGTTACATTTTTGTCACTTATAGAAAAACAAATGTTCAGAAGGTTTTATGTATAATATGAAGTTAAATGCGTAAATTAATCTTTTTGTAATTATTCTAAAGACTTAAATCTAAAGAGCAAGTCACCCCCTACCAGAGTCCAACTCCACTCCTATTTCCTGTTGGGAAAATGCACCACAAGGAGGCGTTGCCTGGCAGACAGAGAAGGCGGAGCCGCTAACAAATAAACACTCATACATACAGGCTCTCCGTGGCATTGTGACATCACATGGTACTAGGGAACATCCTAGGGTACCTCTTAGCCAATAGCGATGGCAGATTTAAATTCAAGAAAATGTTGGGATTTATTTAGCATCTTTCATTCGTTTATGGCAAAAAATAATTTTTTAATCAAACATTCCCATGTTTTCTGTTTTTTGCATCTTTCAATAAAAATATGAATAAAATTATTCTCTACTAAACAGTCAGAAACCTGGAGAAACCTCGTGTCTGTAGTTTTTAACATTATTTTAAATTTTTTTAATGGTTCAGTGTCAAGAAATAAAAAAAAATCTGACATTTCAGCCAATTTTTGTTGTTTAAACTCTGCTGTGAAAATAGTTACTTGATGGCAAAAATCTATTACATTTATTGATTAATGTAACCGTTTTAAGTCCGTTTGCTAAATTCCTTCTCAAATACACAATAATGGCACAAAGTCGGAAACAGTTTTTTTCTCTCAAAAATGAACTCAGAGCCAAGTTAAAGCAATAAATGAGAGTACGTTTGCTTGACGGAATAATGAAAAGCTCTAAACTCATCTCCACTCATACGAGACTCGTAAAGGAAGCGGTTGTGTAGCTACTTTATGGACTGGCTGTGCTTCATCACACAGCTTCAGCCACTAATAATCGTTCCTCCAGTGTGGCCAATTAGCATATAATGCAAATGAAAATGTTCCTGATGCAGTTTAATTCCTGTATGTGAAAAAGTAATATTGTGGAAAACGTATGTTTAATTAGCTCATCCCTGAGAGTCGTAGGGGGGAAATGTGATGGAAGGAATCAAGTTTAGCATCTTAGCCTGAGGGGCGTCAGCGGAAATCACAAATGTAATTAGACCGAACAAAAAGCAACTCAGACAGGTTTGGATTTAGACTTTTAAGTAATAAGATTTGTTTTATTTTGTTGAGCCCAGCTTGTAAAATGTCAAAAGCAAATGTTTAGTTGTAATAAATCAGCATGTTAATAAACACAGCAGTGGGCTCAACCCTCTTAAAGCTTCTGGAGGAGCTACCGAGGAAAGATGGCTACTGTGCCGTTTCCTCCTCCTCCACCCCGCAGATGTCCTTGGTTCAAACCGTTCGTCTCATCTGCTGCTCCAATCACGTTCCAGCTCGCTCCATTCTTGGCAGTCTTCACGACAACCATATTTTATATCCCACAATAAAAGTTTTATACGCTCTACACACATTATTAGAGAGGATAGCAGCTAGTAAAACACTTGAGAGTCCGAGAGGGGATGGGGGGGTTATGAATGGGGGGGGGGGGGGGGGGGGGGTTGAAGGGAATGTGGAATTCCTCAAATATTCATGGACAGATGGTAAAATGCTAGATTTAAAAAGTTAGTCTAGATAATAAAAAATATCCTGTAAAAAAACTTTCACTTGACTTAAAGTCCAACTAAACATGAGATTATTTTGAAATTATTGTTTTTTATAATAAATGAAATCCATTAAGTGTTAAAAGATGACACAGAAGTTCATTTCTCAAATGTTAGCTACGTTAGCAGCCTAAACAGGAAGTGCTGGTTTATAACGCTCTGGTTTTAGACTGTCTCTGGTTGCAACTATAAAAGGTAAAAACATCAGAGATGTGTTCATTTCACACACCCAAAAATTTTTTTTCATTTTCAATTATTTGTATTTTTGAGTAATTTGTCGACATCAGTAGCAAAATTAGCCATGTTTGCAGCCTAAACAGGAAGTGTACTTTTTTTTCTGTCCTGGTTTTTGAATAATTCAGTTGGTTGCAAAAAAAACCAAAAACATAATAGAGGTGTTTATTTCACGCACACAAAATAATATTTATGTTTTCTTAATAAGTATTTTTTTGCCATTAGTGACTAAATTAGCCATGTTAGCCTAAACAGGAAGTGGTTATTGACTCATTCTCTCAGCTGGTTGAAAATGTTCGTGTAAAGAAGGAATTAGGGGTCGGCCAATAAATCGATCGGTCGATATTTATCAACTTGTGTACATCGGCATCGGCCGATATTTGTCCTTAGTGCCAGTCAGGCGCATCCTTGGGCAGCCCGGCGCTGTTCCAGAATTTAATATAAATGTACGTTTACGTTCACTGATAACATCTCCGAAATGAATACTCTAAATTAACTTTATTTAGGTGTCAGACTTTAACAATGAGCCATGCACAACATTAAGATTTAACAGTTGGTTACATTCAGAGTTTAAAAACTGATCCAACTTTAAAAGTTTTGTGCATCAACAGATGCTACTAGTGACATTTTAGCCTGAAAATAAGGTGGAAAACGAAATCTGGATGTAGGCCAAAAAAATCAGCCCATAAAAATCGGAAGTACAACACATCAGTATTGGCAATAAAAAATAACAATTTTGATTGACTTTTAGAATCAGCTTGAATTTCATGATTCCATTTCAAGCCTCCTATAATGAAGTTTCTTGGTGTGTTTTTCAGCCAAATGAAGGAGGAACACGTTTCCACTGTGCTTAGCATTATGGGACACGTGTGCCCCATCACTTCCTCCACTTCCTGCGTCGCCTGAATTCGTTCCTACTAAAACCCAGCGGAGGTTTCTGGGGCCTCCTTTCTTCTTTTCCCTGTTAGTTCCTGACCTTCGTCTCACCTCTTCCTCCCCCATGCACCCACTTGTGATTTCTCTCACCCCTTTGTTTACTTCTCCTCAGACGAAAACACTAAGTCGGAGGAGAAGAGGAGGCGAAACGTCAGTTCTATTAAAAAGTACTGATACTTTTTGGCTGCTGCTCTGGTTACTGTTGCAATCCTGTTCATGGTATTGATCAAGACGTCTAAAATGTGCATTGAAATCCTTAGAGGGCCAGCGCTCTGGTTAACAGTGCTGGCAGTTAGCTGTCTAAGAGGCAGCAGTGCTTCAGAAAGTCGCTTCACAACTCAATATTTGAATCAGTGTTTTGTATTAAAGGGCGTAGAAAGCATTAAGAATTTCTTTTGTTCTGAATGACTCATATTTAATAAATATTTGTTGTGCAATTCAAATGGAAAGTCAAGGATTTTGCTCCATCTTCAGTGCCTGTTGGCTGTTAGACTCGCTGTGATGTCTGCATGCTTCAAAAAGTAAACACATGAACACGACTGGCTGTAAATTAATGGCACCTCAGAGAAGACATGAGATCACTTCAAAATGGCAAAAATTCCCTGATAATTTATTATTTCTGTATTGAGGACCTTACGATGAGGGAAACTCAGGTGAAATGGTAGAATTAGATGTTAAAAATGGACTTTTTCATCCACATTTTAATGGAAGAGGTGTGATTTAGTGAGCTGAGGGGAAGAGGTGTGCTGCAGAATACAAAACAAAACGTACGGTTGCACAGTTTTAGAAAACATGGAATTCCTAAGACACTGTTGTTTTTACGGGATGTCTGATTGTTTAATATTGTTTTTAGACATGCAGCTTGTGGTTTATTGGAGTCCTTTCTGATGTTTTTATGACAGTATTGATACCATTTGGAGCTAATGTGTAGCCCTATGACTGCACCTTGATAAACTACTGAACATGTTTCCGTTAAATGTGTCGATATTCATAAAATCTTTAGTATATTTCAGTTTAATAGTTTGGAAGTTATTAATTCCTGATAGAATAAAATTAGTTTAAAGTGAGAAAATGTGATTAAATCATAAAAATAGATGAAAAAAAGAAAACAAAATTTGGGTTCTAATGATATTTTATCATGAACACAGTGACTCTAGAGCAGCAGAAGTTAAAGAAAACAATGACGTAAGTTTCTGACTGACCCCGGTGTAAACTTTAGTAAACATGAACAAGTTTTCTTGTTACTTTGTGTTAATGACCCATAAAATGCACCGTCCATATTTAAATATCCACCGATGATTTGATGCGGGACCGTTTATTTTCGTTGCAGGGAAGCATTTGTTCATGAATGTTTTACGGTGCTGGAACAAGAACGGACAAAAAATACAAATGTTTGAGTGAAACTTCTGTGGGGGTGAAATAAATTTACATGAGATGCAAGTGCTCCCCCTTGTGTTCAGGGTAAGAAGTGCAGCCACCAGGGGTCGTGGGTTTGTTGGAAGAGCTGCTCATTTGATCTAGTTTCCATTTGGAAACCAGATTTAAATATCTCTTTGACTTTGAATGTGTTTTCATTTTGTTTTTGTTCAGGCACTTTGTTGACGTGCTGGCTTTGATGGTAAAGGATTTTCAGGCAGGACTTTTTTTCTAGTCCACTTGATCGTGCCTTTTGCATTCAGAGTGGATTCTCAATCAATAAAACCACTTATTCATTAAATTTAATCAAAGTCGCATAATCCTTGGGTGTGTACTCTTGACGTTTCTTATATAAGTCGGCAGCCGTGTTGGTGTACTAAAGCAGAGGAGGAGAAACTTTGGTGATTTTTAAAATATTTTATTTCATTACAGACGCCCAGACCTTTAAACATCATCAAGCAGAACAATGGTGAGCAAATCATCCGACGGCGAACCAGAAAGCGCATCAACCCCGACTCGCTGCCGTCCGAAAACCCCGCCCCCAAGCAGCAGCGAATCACCAGCGAGGAGCGAGTGAATGGGGAGGAATCAGACCGAAGCAGCTCATCGGCGAAAACCCAGCAGCCCTCCCCCCAATCGCGATCTCCTCGCTCCACTCAGGCTTTCCTAGCCAATCAGACGCTGGAGATCCACCGACGCATGCCCCCCCTCCTCCTCCCGACTCATCCTCCCTCAGCCTTGGTCTCCGAGAGCAACGGCACCATCGCAGAGGGAGTGATGACATCAAAGGGAGAGGGAGGAAAAGGGGGAGGGGGCTCGGGAAGAGGCAGTCCGATTGAAAAGTACATGCGTCCCTCTAAGCCATCTAGTTACTCTCCTCCAGGTTCACCAATTGAGAAATATCAGTATCCCCTTTTCTCATTACCCCTTCCTTTAACCATCTCACCCGACCTGACCCCTGAGTCCGACTGGCTCAGGTTCTGGACTAAATATAAGATGGCTGCCGCTTCAGGGGTCACGGGTAGCATTAGTAACCTCAGCAGCCCTGGCAGTCTTGGAAACAACACCCACCATCTTGGTGCGATGGTAACTCCTGTACAGTATCATCAGCAAACCTACACGGTGCCTTACTGTGCCTCCCCCTTCTCCCCTCTGCCCCCTCCTCCAGCCCCGACCCACTACCCTGCTCCTCACCTCCCCCAGACCTCCTCAGCAGCATCTCCGGAGAACGACGCTCCACTGGATCTCGCAATAAGACAAAGGGATTCAAGCGCGGCGCATACGAATGGCGCAGAGCGGAGAAGGCCGGACTCGCCTCGGACGGGAAACTGCAAGGGTGAGAAGGAGGAGGAAGAGATGGCCAATGAAGGAGAGAACCCGAGTGAGGAGACAACCGGAAGGAAGGAAGTTAAAGATGAGGCGGTCAAATGTCAACCAGTTCCATCTGATTGCACAAAGGTGGAAGCAGCCACACAGGACGACCTGACCAATCGTTGCTTCCACTGTGGGATCTATTTCCTGGATGAGGTCATGTACGCCCTACACATGAGTTGCCATGGCGAGAAGGCGCCGTACCAATGCGGTTTTTGCCTGTATGTGTGTGTGGACCGTTACGACTTCACCACACACATACAGAGAGGCTTACACAGGTACTCGGACGAAATGTCTCTACGGGAGGGCAACACTCAGAATGTCATGGCAACGCCCGAGAGAGAAAACGTGGCGGACGATGAGCAAAAAGACAGAGATGATGTCATAGGAGCGTGCGAGGGCAATAAAGCGAGGGAGAATACGGGCAGTGAGGATGATCAAACAGGTGCTGAGGAAGGAGGAATAAACGAGGCGGTAACGATCAGTGATGGTATCACAAAACCCACGGAGGTCTTAACTGTTACAGAGTCCAAGAAGTGAGACGGGCTCGCCGATGGAAACTAAATGCTGCCTTTTAATAGTGTTATTGATTGAAAAGGCTCGATGCCTTGGTGTTCTTGGAGGTTAGCTTATTTCTAATTGAAACGCATCTTCATGCTGGAAGAGCTCCGCTGTCATTTGGTCCAAACAAGAACAACCTGTTCCAGGTGAAGTTAGAGCAGAGGCAGGCCAAGTAGGGCTCACTCTACAGCTCTCAACGGGGTGCTGGCATCCAGCTCAAATCGCCTTTCATCAACAGCCACTTTGTGTTTTTCACATAGAAAAGTGGTCCAGACCTACGTAGACACCAAACAGCGGAGCTAAAATACTAAACTAACGCCTAAACGTAGTTGCAACATGCGAACAAGCTGGTTCATTTCAGCACAACCAGATCTGATCTGGTTAGAACTGCTGTTTTTGTTTTGTTCTTAATTTTCCTGAAGTTTTTCCCTCTTGAAGTTTGCAAATGGATCAATAACCAAAAACACGACGGACTCTTGGACGCAGGTGCGTTTGGAACTGTTGAGGGCTGGGTTGAAGAGTGGGATTGGTTTGTTTGCTGTTTCTCAAACTAATGAAACTCCTGGATCAATGCAAAAACCACCATCTGCACAGTGACCGGGCTCGTTACTACCCAGACGTTCTGAAACGGCTTAAAGCTGCTTAAAACGGATCAAATACGTCGAGCTCTGAACTGCAATGTTCTCGTCCGCTTGGATTGAAAATAAGTGACTTTATTTTCTACCTTCCTCTGTGCCATGATACTAGCTATGTGCCTGGCTGCCTGCCTCTTAGAACAACCATTTATTAACCTGCTTGACATTTATATTGATAATAATAATGGTAATAATAAGAACGGTGATGGTGTATTCATTCAAAAATGCAATTTGCTACACTTTCTTATTTTGTAAAGGTAAATGATGCTTTTTAAAGGAAACGGTACTATAAAAAATTAGTCTGTTTGAGTTGCTTTTGTGTCTTAATGAGACTTATTGATAGAAGTCGTCTAACAGAAATGGTACAACAAAGATATGGGTTGTGTGCATTTGTGTAGTTTCATTTTACAGTGTGAGTGCGAGGATTCAAGGGTGCATCCATCCGCGAATGATGATGCAAACATGATGGATCTAGTCCTCAGGGGTCGCACGAGTTGCACACCAACCCACCTGTATCACAGCATGTGACACATCATTTTGTTTAATGGTCTTGGAAATGATCTTTTTTTTTTAGCGAGTTATGTTTTTTTCTAATATGTTTGTGTGTTTTATTTGTTCATAGGTCAACCTGGTTTTACTATGTAACTTTTGTTATGTTAAGTTTTCTAGAGAGACGTAGGAACTTTGGGAGTAAAAACCCAACAATTTATGAAAACGATCAAATGTTGGAGGTCAACTTTCTCTCTATATGCAGTTTACAGTCATTCTTGCCTAAAGGTCTTTTATCTCATAATGCTGAGAGTTGGTTAGGTTACCTTGATGTAGCATTTTAGCATCTTTAGAAATACAAAGAATGGGTACTGTTACACCCTAGATAATACTGAAACCCATTACACGATGTTTAAATTTACTATTTAATAAAGTGAGTCCCGTTATTTCCTCGTCAATGCTTAGAAGTAGTTCAGCTGTTTGTCGTCACGTGTTGGCCATCCTGAACGATTCCCCCAGCCTTGCTGCCTTAGTCGCTAGAAGACAAATGAAACTGTTGAGTGGAAACTGAAGACAAGTGAATGAGCTAAAAATAAATAATATTTTTCTACGCTTATCCAAAAGACATGAGTGAAAGGAAGTCCTCTTAGTGCCTGGAAATCTTCACACTTTTTTTTTGTCTATAAATTTTGCAAACTTTTAAAATTTGTGTCTCAGTGGACTGTGACTATTCAACAGGTTTAATTTTTTGGCCAACTCACGTTGAGAATATGATGTAATTGTAAACTAATACTGACGTTAGCAAAAATTTATCGCAATTTAGTCACATCAGAATTCAGTCGTCAACTCTTGCATAGCTTGTCTTAAATTTCTCAAACTTTTATTTTGACAGTAAATGGGATCAAGATGGGTTACGAACAAAAAGAAAGGCCCTGTGACTAAACTCCCGCTAACGTTTTGGAAAATTTTCTCCAAACGGTTGCAGCCCAGCGAGATGCTGAATGAACATTCTCATACAATAAATTGTCTGAATCGTCAGTGTTTTGCTAAGACTAGTCCAACGGCCATATTTTGTTGTTATGACACCCGTCGCATAAGTTGTGTGTACGTACACTACCTTTATAGGTTTTAAGCCTCAGCTGACTTATGACCAATGTTGAAGTTAGAAATGTAAAGCAGAGTTTAAGTTCATCAGCATATAATAAATAGATCATATTTTGCTTATATTTCCAGGATGAAACTACTTAAGTTTGATTGGACAAGATTGTGATTGGCTAAGCTAACAAAACCACTCAGAAGTCCTCTCAGAAAAACCCCGACAACAAAACTTTAGCTCATCGGTGCAATATATTACCATTGTTGGGGTTGGTTCTCGTGCCCGTGTTCCTTATTTATTAAAAATTATAAAGCTAAACCATCGTTTGGCAAACTTTTCTCATCGTTGGCATGACTTTAGCTCAAGGTCAAAAACAAATATTCAAACTATTTTGTTTTAATCTGTTCAGATTTTTGAATACAACCTTTTGGTACTTTAAGGGGTGCTTGTTGAATAATGAATGTTACTATCTGTATTTGTAGCAAAACATAGAATGATGCACTGCTTTTGTGAAGACAACAAAGGGATAGATGGGGCGGGGGGGGGTGGGGGGCGGGGGTGGGGGGTGCTGCCGGAGATGGAATAACAGGCATTTGAAGAGTATATTCTCATAGTAGCTGATGCAACGTTGTTATTCTTTCTGTTTACCTTTGTTTCCGTTTCAGTTGTTCTGTAACCTCCTTTCAGCGTCCGCATTGATCTTTTATGTGTTTTATTTTTTGTAAGCTTCACTGTAACTCCATCTGTTTGTTTAGGCTACACAGGCCTGTGCTTGCTTGGTTGGGTGGTGGCTAATTGCTGGAAAAAGTTCAAATTTTCAGTTCTTCCATGCTCTAAGGAGACTTACCATAGAGTATTTTAAGTTCTTGTGTTTTTCGCTTTTCTTTTAGTTGCTTGAACTTCATTTTTATTATATCATAAATATTAAATGGAAACCCTGAAAGGCGAGTGGGAAAGAAGATGTTCCCATTTCTGAGATTTTGTCAAAAGTCAAAACCTTGTTTCAGGAATTAAATCAAAGCATTAATAACGTTTTTTACTTGGTTTTTGAACTTTTTCCTGAAAATTTAAACTTTTTTCTTGGTTTTTGAACTTCAAGTAAACACAAATATATCAAAGCATTTTCGCTACATTTCTGGCCCAAAAATGGTCTCCCCCAAAACTTTTTGACCTTTTACGTAGTGTTTAAAAACATAGCAATGCATATTACGATTAACTCCCCAAATACCACAGTATTAGTCTTAAACTAAATCAACCAACCCTTTAAAGGTTTATTCTAAGGTACAAAGTACATCAAAAAAATCAACCCTAATGTTAATCAACCTTGGTTCAAACATAACGTCACCATTTGGCTAAAACCTCAAAAGTTTTAGTTTTCGTGCTTTTGTGTGAATCGGCTCTATTGATCACCCTTTTGATCATTTTAGGGGTTTATGAGTGAACATCTAATTAAAAATAACAAAGACTTGGTGTTAGAGCAGAAGTAAGAGACAGGAAGAACTGAACTTACTGTCTAGATAAGAAAAGAGAAGGACCACCCAAGTTTATGGGTAAACATTCATTTCTTGTCAGATCTGGGACAGTCTGAGATATTCTGCTACACATTTGAATTTTATATTTCCCTACACTTTGGAACCTTGTTTATTTATTTTATTTCTTGAAAACTTAACTCCAGCAACAGCAATATCCAACTTTCTAATGGGTGGCCATTGGGAATTGTGGGAATACTCAACCAATTGGCAGTATTGAGTCCTCACCCACCAATCCAAAGGCTTCTGTTTCTGCTCTGAATCAAACTTAAAGCTACGCCCTTGTAACCTAACTTGGTTTCAGGAAAAGGTTCTTGCCTTTCAGTGTTTCCATTGCATTGACTCACCGTCTCGATCAACCACAAAGATTTCACCATAGAAGTTTCAGTTTTCTCAGTTGAAAGTATAAAAAGAAGATATTGATAAAAACGACTTTAATTTCTGAAATTCCGTCTTCGTGTCTGCCCACTTTAGCAGTGGCGCTCTCTACTGGAAGCATTAACGCTTCTACGCTCAAGCAAAACTAAAACTTTCATGTTAACTGTTAGATTATAGTAATATTTATGCAATCAAGCTGAGAAATAAATCCAGGTTCTGGGGCACGTGTGGCACGGCCTTGAGTAATTCACACAGCAGCTGTGTTTTCTTTCGTTTGACATTTCGTATCAGCGTTTACATCGGGATGCTTTAACAGGTGTTTATAATGTTTTTATGTCAGAATGTGTTACAGAAGAACGATGCTGTTGCTTGCACTCCCATTTATGTTCTTATTGCCAAGGAAGGGACAACACACACACACACACACTCACACAGAGGTACAAAGGTAGTGTACATTTTGGGATGTACAGTGTTAACCAAGGCCAGTTTAAGGTTGGCTACAAACACACAGTATGTTTCTATGTGTAATCAGTATATTGTAGTAGGAATTTGTCTGTTCCGTTGCTTTTGTAGAGAATACATATGAATTTGTTTTAGGTTACGTTCTCTTTCGTTGTATTTTGTTCTGCTGCATTTTTGTTTTTTAGGTTTTGTTTCATGAAAATGAAATTTCAACAACATATTTTGACAGCCAAGAAAAGTTTGTTATAATGCTAAACTTGAAGATTAGTGATGATGATGATGATGATTAATAAAAGTAATAACATTCTCCAAATGGACAATAGAGTTTTTATTTAAAAGTGAGTAGAGTTTCAAAATTTAAGCATTTCTTAATCTGACCGACAAGTGGGCTTTAATCTGCTGGATGTGGATTAAAAAGATTTTCCTCCAAGTGTTTTTATGTTTTAAATATCTTACAAACCTTGAAACTTGCCTCCCACTGTGCTCTCTGAGTGCAGAAGCCTAACAGTGTCCATCTGTTTCTGTTTTTGTCTGATTATTGATGCCACCTGCCTGATTTTTATTGCTTTATAAGCCTCTCTTCTCTTGTCAGTGGTCTCAGATGTACGAAAGACTTCACAGTTTCGATACACATCCCTAAGGGGGGTGCCTTATTACCTGGTTTTCCCCGAATGCTTATGCTGCTGTTGCACTTTAAAAAAAATCTTCCTGAAAACAGGTTGGTTTAAAAAAAAGTGCTACCATGGTAACCATTCAGCTGGTAATCCGTTGAACATAGTAATTCACTTTTTGGCCCACTGACCTGGTTTTGATGTAAATGTGTAGCATCTTAGTCTGGACAGAATTTGCTTCGTGTCAAAAGTCATGGTTGAGTTATTGCAAATGATGGGAACTCGTGCTCTCACTACATGCTTGAAGACATTAGCCGTGTTTCCACTTTAGGCAGTAGCGGTTTTAGGCACGGGCAGACAGGGCAGTTGCCCGGGGCGGCATTTTTTCATGACACAAAAGGGGCGCACAAGCGCTGAGTAAAAAAAAAAAAAAAGGAAATCTGCGCCGCACCGAGGTTTTCTATTATCTGTCATATGACAGTGTCTGGATTGGAAACAGCAAGTTGGCGCCCCCTGCAGCTGCAGGCGCTCCTTGCACCGTGTGTGTATGAAGAAGAGGAAGGGGAGGGGTGCGGCGGGGGAATTCACCTCTGGGTGGGTCCAAATGAAATAAGCGGGTAGGGGCTGAATCAACTGTATTAACATGGCTAAAGTCGATCACATCTTGATGTTCTTCCACATTTCATTCATAATATCATAAACACAGGCCTATCATTCTTTCAGGTGTTTCTGAATTGTGTGAAATGGCCGAATAAAAAAAGGAAAAACAAAACGATTTTGTGGTCACCCCCCCCATCAAGGTCCAATAGTTTAGTCCTGACTAAAGGAAACTTAATGAGTCAAGAGCCAAACAGAAGAGATGAACATAAAAAGGCTAAAACCAACAGGTGCCCGATTCAGGAATAAAAAAGAAAAAAAGAGGAGAAAAATAAAGGTATGTTCGCTCTCATGATGAATGTTTTCAATTTTTTGAACCAGTTAACTGGGATTTTAACGGTTAAATTCGGTCAACTAGTTGCTAACAGAGCTAATAGGGCTGAAATATTGAAACGAATATTCAAATGGTTCGAATAAATTCCTTGAATCGTTTTTTACTGATTCAAACTAGGATTTGTTAAATGCTCGCTGCAGCCTGTGGCCTGCCTGAACAACAACAAACACATGTTGATCATGTTCACATAATAAATAAAACAACTCTACAAGCAGAAGAAAACTCCCCAGTCACCACTAACTATCCTGTTTATTTATTGCAGATGGCTGCACTGATTATTTTTTACCTGGTTTGTTCTGTAAAAGTTGGCATTTTTGGTAGTCTACAGTTTTTTATGTCAGTTTAAATTACAATTTCAGAGGCAATTGTAAAATATTATGGATCATGATAAAGATCTATTGGAGATCTACCCCAACTTTTGGACTGCTCTGCCAGTCACTGTGGCTCCAGCTGAGAGGAGCTTTTCAAAACTTGATCAAGTCATACCTGAGGTCACCTATGTTTCAGGGGTGGCTCACTAACCTGGCTCTGATTCGTATCAATCACTCAGTAGGGGAGCAGATTTCATATGATGACATTATTGATGACTTTGCATCAAGGTTAGGTTTTAATTTTAGTTTGTGTTTTCTGTTCTAAGTGCAATGCTGTAGTGATTATCTTTAGTTTGTTATGTGTGAAATATTTTTGCTATTTAGAATATTTATTATATATTATGTGCATATATTCTTAATATTTAGTTAGTTTAGTTGTTTTTGTATATTTGATTCTATATATTTTGATACAGTGTATAATGTATATTGCTTTACATTCTGACAACTTCATAGTAATTAATGTAAATATGTGCAACTTAGAAAAATGAATGTTCAATAGACGTTCTAATAAAACATGCCTGTTTGTAGAAAACGTGTGTGTTCGTGCAGGTGGGGTGGTGTGGTGGTGGTGGTGGGGGCGGTTGGGGGGACGCTCAAAGGGGGCCTCGCCCGGGGAGTAATTCCATGTAGAACCGGGAGGGGTGTAAGGTGACTGGGAAGGTGTGCTGGCTTGGTCCTCTCAGCTGTTGTCTTCATAGTCGGCCTTTTCACGACTTTGCAGAGACGTCAGCATTTCACAACCATTTTGGTAGTAAGTAATTCCACTGATCAGCAGCAAAAGACATCCATGGTCCATAACATTTACAAAGTTCTATTCTGTCAAAGTACGCCAAAAATTAGAATATTGTGCAAAAGTTAAGTAAAAGCAAAAGGGGCCAAAACCAAGTACTTAGTACGTATGCATGATTATAGTTTTTCAAAGATCTGACATTTCACTATTTAAAATGCTTGTTTTATAGTCTGGCAACGCTCCATTTACGCCTCTCGGTCGTGGGACGGTCTCTGCATGCTAGTGGACAATGAGCAACATGGCGTACTCATCGCAACGGATGTTGGTAAACGAGGCGGTCCACTGTTGAAGAAGGTGAAAATACATCCTTTTTTTCTTAAAAAAAGAACTTGAATGCATCTATCTGCTCCTGATTCTAATAAAGCCCATGTCCAAATAGTCCAGTATTGATGTAAAAGCC